GAGGGACTGAAGCTGGTGGATCGTTGAGAAGGGGGACTGAAGCTGGTGGATCGTTGAGAAGGGGGACTGAAGCTGGTGGATCAATGAGAAGGGGGACCGAAGGTGGTGGGAGGAGAGTGCCCCCTTCTCCTATGACTGGCAGACGTGGTGGGCAGCACTCATACGAAACGGATGGAGGATTCAGAGCGGACCATTCACGGCGTGAGCAGGGATTATTCGACACGGATTCCGAGTTCTCCGCAAGAGGTGAAGCTGGCGGAGGGAGTTTTGTTTCCGCTTCGCATTTCAGAGAGAGTGGACAGCTATCTTCATACGATCCAGACGGAGGTTACAAAGTCCCTAAGGCACTTGGCGGTCGTTCGCAGGCTGAGGAAGCGTCCCATAACTCGGATGGAGGATACCAAGTCCCTAGGACACCGCCTGCCGACAGTCATGATTATACTGAGCTACTAGAGTTTAAAGAAACGGAGGTAGAATACTTGAATGTGAGAGATACGAGCGGCGACGACAAAAGAGGTGATGGCCGAAGTCACGGCAGCGGCTTTGGAGGCGGTGTCGAAATAGACAACTTCCAAGGCCGTGGAGGGCGAGGCTCCGGAGGTCTCCATACAAAGCAAGACTCAGTGGAGGACCAGGCTCCAGCGGTGCCGCCGAGAGGTCGACGTCACGAGGGTTACTCGGCGGAGAGGTGGGCTTCTCGCGCCTCGATGTTGTTATCCCCTTCTGCGGGACGCGCGGTGGAGTTGCGTCTGCAAGAGATGAGCGGAGTGATCAAGCGGGAGTCGCGGGGTCGTAGCCGTGGTGGGGATGCGGAGGCGGTGATTGCCAGGTCAATCAAGAGTGATTTGAGAGGGATCACGGATGTGCGAACTGCGAACAAGATTTGTTTAGAAACATTTGGGCGTAAGATGTCGGAGTTGCCGGATGGTTTTGTGTCAGAGGATGCGACTCAGACAGTTGCCTTCCGTCCCGTGGTACAGGAGGAGCTTCGCGAGATTTTGGAAGGGGTACCGGAGGATTGGAAGCCGGTGATCCGAAAATCGGCCATGCCCCTGGACCAACTTAAGGCCGACCTGGCCGCACAAGGACTAGCTACTGGTACTCTCCCTGCCGAGCGCCGTTCTCGGCGAGAACCCAAACGCGCTACAGATACCGCTGTCGTGGTAGACTCCATAGGCGCCGCGACCGTGGCCACCGCGGCTTTGGGCGTCACGGATAGACGTTATAAGGACCCCTTCCCTCGTGGCGATGATATCGCTAGAATCGAAGACAAGGGAGGCTGCTGCCGCTGCTGTGGTCTGAGAACTAAATGTTCCCGCTGCCTCTGCGCCAGCGCCGTTATTGCCGCCATCGCGGGCATTACGGGTGGTCTGGGCTACTGGCTCTGGACTAGGGATCATGGCACTAAGCCCCAGTACCTACCCATTATTGCCTCTTGTGCGGGTGACTCAACGCCTGCTGGTCTGCTGGAGATGTTTACAGAACTTGACTTAAACAAGACCAGGGTCCCCTACGACATCTGCAAGTCGACCTTCGCCGAGACCACCACCAACGACTCCATTTGGCAAAAAATACTGTCAAGCAACGGTACTATGTTCGCAGGCAATAGCACTATGCCAACAGGCAATGGCACTATGCTAGCAGGCAATAGCACTATGCTAGCAGGCAATAGCACTATGCTAACAGGCACAGGGAATGAAACTGCACCAGTTTGTTTCCAGGCAAACATGTGTTCAGGCCGGCCTGGCAAGCTAGTTTGCGCAACTCAAGACAAGGACGGCAAATTCAACCCGCAATGCTTCTTTTTCGGAACCCCGCATCCTGTGGATCTACTCAGCTCCTGGGAGTTGGTCAGCACCTATGTAAAGCCGGTTCATTGCAGTGTTAAATGCAGTGATCCTACTGAAGTATCCAATCTCGTCAACAGCACCCTTATGACCAAGCTTCCAATAGGCCTAGATTCCAAATCTAAGGGTACACAAAAATCGGACGGAAAGGCCATTATCTTGGACCCAGAGTCCGCTACCATACGACGGAAGGCTGCAATGGATCGACTGATAACTCCTAACCCTTATGTTAACGTCAACAACAACTGCTCCTCCTTCTGTGAGCCTTGTGGAACGAAGGAAATGGAATCTATGCGTAACTGCAACTGCCCAGCTGCTACCGTCGCCTGTACGGTACAGGATGAGTTCAACAACGTGTTCGACTGGACCGCCGTGTCCGACTCCAACACGTCCTTGATCAAACTGTTTGACCGCGTTACGGCATTCACCAGGAAGGGCGTCAAGGTCCGCAAATGCGCCTATGAATGCAGCTGCTCAGGGCACTAGATTTTTTCGGTGGTGAAGAGTTTGGAAACAATTAACTTGAGTGGCCGACACTGAAGGGGGGGGCGGTAGTTCAACCCCGTGGGGGGCGGTAGTTCAACCCCGTGGGGGGCGGTAGTTCAACCCCGT